GCTTAAGCCCTTGAGACTGTGACTTGAGACAAAAGACAGTCTGTGTCACCTTTTGGTTGGTGACCTGCCCTGACAACCTCCTCAGATGATTTTGAGCACTACTTTTATCCAGGATAGATTTATATGTCATGTATGAAGCAATCAGGATCTTGCCTTTAGTTCCCCCATATTCACCATTACACAGGAAACCCTCTAACCTGGACTGGGAATGAGTTAAAATTTAAGCCTCCTTTAAACCTAAGATCCTGACTCAACTTGCACAGGTTGCCCAGAGAAGCTGGGGCTGCTCCTGGATCCCTGGAAGTGTCCAAGGCCAGGTTGGACACGGCTTGGAGCAACCTGGGCTAGTGGAAGGTGTCCCTGCCCATGGCAGGGGTTTGGAATGAGATGAGCTTTAAGATCCCTTCCAAGCCTAGCCTGACAAGGAACACACAGGCTGGAGCTGGAATCATTGCAGGAGGCAAGGATCTCCACAGGGCCATACTCATTTGGGCCTATAAATACAAACATTAAGGAGACTCCCTCCAGACTTCAGTGGCTAGTTTGTCATGTGAGGAACATTCAGGAGTACATGGGCTGCAAAGTCATTACCATCCTCCACAGAAGGATAAGAGACATTGATTCAGCTCAAGGCTCGGGACAGTGGAATGTTGAACAAGCAACCTTGACCAAGCCAAGGTTTAGAAGTGGTGGGAGTGGGGAATGAGGGTTCATGCACATCCTTTGAAGAGTTTATCAGCAAAACAGCCTAAGAATATCCTCAAGGCTGGAATAAATTAAGACACACATTTTAGAGATGTCTAGGATGCCCCATAATTTGATGACATCCCAAGTCCTAAGAAAGGCAAGGGTCGCAAAATTATCAGTTTTGTGGGTGATGAACAGGGGTAGCAGTTTATGAACTAAATGTATGCAATGTCTAAAGCTCTCCTAATGGTTAATTAATGATGTAATGCACAACTTATAGCACTCAGAAGTACCAACTTAGCACATGAATCAGAGCCTGGGGCTATAGTTATGCCACAGCATACAAATATATCCTCACTATTTGCATTCAGCCTTGTCTAGCCTTGGATGAGGGCTTCTGTACAGATGGACTGATAACATGAGCTAGAAATGCTGGCCAGTCTAAGAAGCCCTTCACACTTCTTAATGCTTTGGTTTTCTTCAGGTAAATACAGAGGTGTCACCTAAAGAAGTTTCTTCTCCCCTGACATGAGGTTGTAGCCAGGTGAGGGTCAGGCTCTTCTCCCAGGGAACAAGAGGAAACAGCCTCAAGCTGATGAACTTCAAGGTCCCTCCCAACACTAAACCCCCCCGGTTTGAGCCCATCAGGCTCTTCAGGAACACCTCCAGGAAGGCACTGCTCAGCTGTCCCCTGTGCTGTGACAACAGCACGAGCCGTTCCCAGTGCTGGCAGCCCTCCACGGTTATTAGCAGCTAATATCCCAAGTATTTCTGGGCCCCATATCACAGCATCTGAGGGCCTTTCAAGAGTTAGAAGAATTTAAGAGTTTGGTTTGCTTTGCTTTGGGCTCTGGAAATCTGTGTGGCTTGACCCTGGACACTCCTTGCAGGGAGACAGGGATGATGGTGGGTAATGAAGAGGCAGAACTTTAAGCCACCCTAATGGCTCCACGATCAACCAGATTGAGTAGAGGTGGGAGGTAAGTAGGGAGGCCTGGACAATTCCCTATTTTGGACCCTCATTTTGTGAGGCTGTCTCCAGGGAGGACCTGTGCTGAACCACTGCATCTTGCAGAGAGTACCCTGAAGCCACTGCTTTCACAGAGTCATAGAACTGTTAAGGATGGAAAAGCCCTCTAAGATATTTGAGTCAACTATTCCCCCAGCACTGCCAAGGCCACCACTAAACCACGCCACAAAGTGCCACATCCACATGGCTTTTAAATCCCTCCAGGGATGGGGACTCCACCACTGCCCTGGGCAGCCGTGCCAAGGCTGGACAATCCTTCCATGACGGAATTGTTCCCAATATCCAACCTAAACTTCCTCTGGCACAACTCGAGGCCTTTCCTTCTTGTCCTGTCCCTTGTTCCCTGGGAGCAGAGCCCGACCCCCCCCCAGCTCCCCCCTCCTGTCAGGGAGTTGCAGAGCCAGAAGGTCCCCCCTGAGCCTCCTTTTCTCCAGGCTGAGCCCCCCCAGCTCCCTCAGCCGCTCCTGCTGCTCCAGCCCCTTCCCAGCACAAGCTCCAGCCCCTCAGTGTCTCTTCCATGACAGCCCAGAACTGGGCCCAGCCCTCGAGGGGCCTCAGCTGTGCCCAGCACAGGGGTGGGCACTGCCCTGGTCCTCTGACACACCATAGCTGGCACAGCTGAGGTGCCCTGGGCCTTCTTGGCCACCTGGGCACACCACCTCAGTGGTGGTTTCACCTGAAACACTTGCCAAGAATATAACAGCTCCCACATGCCCCAGATCCAAAGGGGTGTCATCAGCCGTAACTGGATGGAAAATGAGGATCTTCTGTATGATGCCAAAGCCTCACTCCCTTCCACCTCCTGGGAGAACTGGAGCTGAGCACCAGCACCACTCATAACACTCATCCCCATTCCAGCTATCGTCCCAGAGCTCCTGCACATCTGGAAAAGCACAAACCAGCCCAGCAAACACACTGCTCTGAGTCAGATGCCTTCGCCCTGAGTCACCGAAAGGCGTTAGTTATTCCAAGGAATTGTGCAATGAGCAAAACAAACCCCAAACACAAATATCACCCCCACTGGGGAGGCTGCCTGCCTCCAGGAACCCCACGAGTCAGAAGGCCCACAGCAGCTCAGAACCTGCAGAGCCAAGACACACGAGCACGCTTAGACCTCCTGGAAGGAATGTCTGGGCCTGCTGGTGAATTTAAATCATGTCTTAACACACTTCCACCCAAATGCCTCCAGAGCAGCTCAGTGTTACAGCACGGTGCTCTCCCGTCAGCTTCCTACTGGGAAACACATGGGAGGCTTGGAAATGCAATCACAGTGCAGCCCTTACTGGCCATGAGCGCAGATCAGAGGGGGAACACTCAGCTGCCATCACTTGTGCAGATGGTGTTTCTCCCAAGAGTCTCCCAAAAACCTTCAGTGGGCTCAACTGAAATAGTTTTTGGGTTTGGTTTTTTTTTTTTTTCTTTTTTAAGTTAGTCCAGCCAACCAACAAACACTTCAACTACCTAGTTTAACTTTCTTTGGCAAAGCTGCACAGTCCTCAGGCAGGCATCCTACAGGTATCCTACTGCTGTGCTCTCCAGCTTGGCCAGTTTTGAATCCCCAGTATTAGTAAGATTTGCCAGACACTACCTGCTTTTGTTGGCTATTACCCTCTCCCCTGGGGAACTCTTCTCTTTGCTTCAAATCTGGCAGAACAAGTCCTGCTGCTTGTAGATTTATATGGAGGTACATCAAGTTCTCCTTCCAGTACACAGGACTGCATAATCAATTCCTCATGAAGGTTTGTGAAAAAAACTATTCTCAGACAGTCTTTTCCATGGAAGAGTTTTTAAACTGTTTCCAAATTGCTAATATTAAAAAAAAAAATAAAGTATGCAAATAGTGACATGTTAACAGCTCTGGCAATATATGGTCTGTTCCCAAAGCCACAGCTCATGGGGGTTAACACACAAACCCGTGTGCTCCCAAGCCTCATGTCTGCAAAACCAAAACATTTCAACAGTCCCAGAAACAGGCTGAACAAACCTTTACCAAGAATACACAGGTATCAACTGAGCTGAGCTTACCTTCGAATGAGAGAAATTTGCTGGAAGAGGTTTCTGGTGCCTAATCCAGGACTATTTCCTCCAATTCTGTTTAAGTCAGTTTTTCCAAGAGTTAAACCCCCCCTGGTTTTAGCCAAACTCTCCTTTTATTTAAGGCATAAAGGGAACAATATTTATCATTCAAAGGAACCAGTTCTATTTCGCCCCTGCTCCTATTTTTGTCTTCTGCCTCTAGACAGGAGTGTCCCTTCCCTGTGCTAATTAATAGAGGGATAAAGGCACACCTTGGGGTTGAGAGTTTCATAGAAAAGTTAATTACAGATCCTGGCTTTATAATTACCAGTCGAGACGCTCACATTATCTGCCACAGGATCCCCCCAGGCTTTACCTGGCTAGAAAGAAGCAAGGGACGACTTTGAAGGCTGGAGTGAAAGCTGATCTTTACTGAAAGTGTAAGACATAGAAAGAGCCACCAAAAACTTCCATAACAATAGCATTAGGGGGGACAACAACAGGTCAGAAAGAGAGAGAAACACTAATGGGTCACAGACATCATCATGTACCTGCCAAAATTGAAGAGAATGGAGCTTAAGACCATAAGAAGATAATTGAATCTGCTGCACTGGCAACATGATGTGGAGCCGAGTAGCTGTAAGTCTGTTAGACAGGCTAACTGGAAGAAGATGCAAGATCAGGGCAGAGGGAAAGCTCTCCTCAGACAAGGCAGCTGAAAATGTCAATGTGCAAACTGTGCTACCTCCCAGCTCAGCCCTTGGACCCAGCAACAGAGTGGCTTAAGATGATCAAGACCACTTGTGTACTTCCATCTCCGACCTGCAAACACTTACATACACACTCTGGTATTTGCTGAGTTGGTGCCTCGAGCTCCCCATTCCATAAATCCTCTTCCCTTTCAGGCTCAAGGGATGGAAAATGCTCTCTGAGCGCACAAAATACTCACTGAAGTCAGAGGGGAACTGCAGTGAGATAATATGGCAGAAAGTCACTGTCTGGAGAATACAAAGGGCTCCTTATTTATAAACCCAAACTTTTCATAACCAGAAGATCTGGACAGAAACATCACACTGGCACCCAGGGTTGCATGGACTGGCCTGCCTGGGTTTTACCAGCAGCCTGGGAGCTCACACTGCCAGTTTCTGCAGGCTGGGACATCCTTGTGTTGTGTCTCTGTACAGACCATGACTCCTCTGGGGCACTTTCTGTAGGCAATTTTGGGCACACACATAACTTAGAATGCAGTTTAAAGCCAACATCTTACCAGTACAGGTTTACACAGCAGGACAAACACCACAGTTCACAGCCTGGTCCTAATCCTCCTCCGTTCCCAAGGTGCTCGGAGCAGCCAGGAGCACAGCTCCCAGTTTAAAGAGGAACCATTCATTCCTTAAGGATGTGTTGGTCCATTGTAGAAGTTGTATTTCTCAATGTATTCAAGGCTTTGCCAGCCAATTCCATAAATCAACTTGTTGGAAAAATTGCCTAAAAAAAGAAAAAGGCAATTAAACGTCGTGTGAGCAACGCAGCCACGCAAGCAGGAATTCCTCACCTCGTGTACTCCCAAGGCATTTTTACAGTCCTTGCTATAGAGGCGCTCCTTTGCCCCTTGAAAACTGTCTTTAAAAATACCCAGTGAGATTGCAAAAAACTTCCCGAGTGACTGTCATGGGGAAACAAAGCCAGAGAAGGAGAGGAAGCGGTGAGTTGTGGGCCACCGTTGGTGGGCACTTGAATAGGAGCCCTGTGCTTGACACCAGCGCCACTGGGAACAAAACCGGAGCCCGGCAGCCATTTGTCAAGGGGCACAAATGCACACAAGTGGTGAGAACCTGGCCCTGCTGTAAGAACGTGTCAGGGACCTTTCTGTGGGGCTGTGCCGAGCCCCTGATGGATCGCTGGGCTGGGAGGGCAGCATTGTGAGCAGCAATAATGAGACATCTGGCCCGTTCTCTTTCTGAAAGAGTATTTTGGCTCGACTGAGACCACATGAGCAGCTCCTTGGACAATGCACAGACTCGGGGTCTCGCTGTCACCAATCCGCAGTGCCGGGCCCGTCCTCCCCCGTATCCAGCACCATCCCTCCAAATCCCAGCCCCACCAGCATCCAGGGGGCCTTTGCCCCTCTCTGGACTGACACCATCACTCTCCACAGCCTCCGTCACCCAGTGGATCCCCCCTCAGAGGTCTCCATGCTCAGGACACCACAGCCAAGCTGACACACACACAGGCTTACACAGCACAACCTCTCTGCCTTAAATCTGCCCTCTGGGCACAGGACCACGGAATGGCTTGGGTTGAAAGAGACCTTAAAGCTCAGTTCATTCCATGGGCAGGGACACCTTCCATGAGACCAGGCTGATCCAACCTGGCCTTGGACACTTCCAGGGATGGGGCAGCCACAGCTCCTCTGGGCAACCTGTGCCAGGGCCTCCCCACCTTCAGCATAAAATATTCCTCCCAATATCCCATCTACCCCTTCCCTCTGGCATTTTGAATCCATCCCCCTTGTCCTGTCACTCCATCCGGAAAAGGCTTGAATACATCATCCCCCCAGCCAGAGAGGGAAGGATATGCAGCAGGATGTGAGGATTTTATCAAGCTGTCAGTGCAAACAGGCTCCCCATCCACAGGTAAACCGGCAGCTCCTGGGAATCCATCCACTCTCCTTCCTGTGCACAGGCAGGGCCCAAGGCAGTTGCTCACAGGCACAGCCTCAGGGAAGCAGGCATAAATTATAAAGCCTGATGTGTGTAAAAACTAGAGAGTTTCTATAGAGAATTTCAGTTCTGAGCACCTTTTATCCAAAAAAATGGAAAGTATAGGGATTTAATACACTAGACAACCCTTCAGCAGCTCTCTCCTGACACCCTACACCCTCCAAGTGACAAGGGGAGCTGAGAGCTCTCTGAGAATGGACTTGGGACATAAAGAAAATACGGGAAATAGAAGCAAAGAAAAGAACAGCAAAGCGGAGGAAGCAAGAAGAAGGATGTCTGTGTGCTTCAAATACCTCAAAACAGAGGCCCCACTTTGCAAATAGTGTTTCACTGGGGGAGGGAGGGGGAAGGCTGGTTTTCATTTCATTTTCGCTTTGAAAACACCATTTTTCCGCACATCCACTGAAGTGCAAATTTCCTCCGAAACCATTTAAACAGAGAGCACGTCTCAAAGCTGGGGTTTTCTAAAACACATCTGTTTGAATTTATAAAGCCGTGGCTGAGAGAGCCCCCAGCAGCCCCTCGCCGAAGGAGCCACGAGCAGCATTTCCCAGCGCAGCCCCCAAAAACACCCCAGCGCCCGCCCGGGCACAGCAAGGCAGGCACCAGCACCAGTGGCAGGGAGAACACAACCCACCAGCTCAGAAGAGGGTGACACAGAGACCGATTTCTCCAGCTCCAGCCTTGGCATGGACCATGCCAGCTGGGAAGAGAGATAAGAAGCGGCTGCTGGTGTGTGGGGGGTGATAAATGGGGTGCTCACACAGCCCCCAGCACTGACCACCAACACCTCTGCAGCTGCCGGCGCATCCGGAGAGCCCATCTCTCCATCCTGCTGCGAGCAGTGCAGGCAGCCACAGGCAGGATGTGGGGATAATATGAAGGGAAGAGGGATATCACCCATTGCTGTGCCTTCCCAGCTCCTCCTTCCGTGCGCTCCCCACAAACCCCGGCTCAGGCAGACGGTTTGTACAAGCAGCTCACGGAGGGGGGAAGTCTGGAAGCCTCTCCAAATTCGCTGCTGGCACAGCAGCAGCCTCCCCCTTCCCAGCTGGCAGTTGGCACCGACAGCACTGCATGCCCCAAGCCCTGCTCCTGCAGCTGGAAGGGGCCGGGAGGGGAGGGACGCGGCCCCGGTCCCCAGGCTGGCAGCTGCAGCTGGTGGCAGGGATGCCCAGGGGAAGCAGGTGGCTCCTTCCCAAGGGCTGGGTGGGAATGCTGGCACCCAGGGCTGACGGCGCCTCTGCAGAGGTGACCCGCTGGCTGGGGGCCCAGTGACAACGCCTGGTGCCGTGACAAAGGAGCTGTGCAGCCCCAGCGGCACCGGCTGTGGGGGCTCAGCTCTGGGGCACCCCAGGAGGGTCCTCTGCCCACTGACAGCTGAAAGGAGGGACACAAAACATCTCTCCAAATCTGCTCCTTACAGAAGGAGATGTGCCAGGCACCAAGCTGTTCCCTGCCATGCACAGCCCTTCCCTATGACCTGCAACCCTCTTTTTCTGAAGGCTGTCCCAGATTGCCTGCAACAGGACAAGGACATGCAGCCCCTCCCAATTGCCCCTGCCCCTCCACAGCTCACCTTCCAGGCTCAAAGCATTCCCATCCTCAGCTGTGGAGACCTCCATCCCAGGGCCATTCTGACCTGTAAAACCATGAGTTTAGGGTAAGACAGACACGAGGCCCCAGCTCAGTGGCACAGTTGCTGCTCCTTTCCTGGAAATTTTAAGGTCCACGGGTTTTGTGGTGCCGAGGAGTTCTTTGGCACTCAGTTGAATGTATTTAATGCAGCCTGTGGAGCAAGCAGTCCATGGTTAATGCATCCAGAATGGCTCGTGACTGTCTACTGGGAAGACGTGAAGAGGGCAGTAATTCATCCAAGTCCACTCTGCTGTGCAAATTCTCACTGTTCCAAGGAAGAGGTCATGCCCTCTTTTTCCTGTGCCTCTGGTCTCCCCCTCTGCCCTTTGCCAGGTGCCAAGAAGGGCCCACAAAGCCCTTTTACTTAATTTTTCTTCCCCCCCCCCCCCCCCAAAGCTCCCTGCAGCTGTTGCACAGCAAACTCAACATGCTGGGCTGAGCAACCTATGATTCCTTACTCCGTACCCTTGAAACCAGATGGCATGCCCAAGTTTTCTCTGACAAGCAAAGGAATCAGAACTGACATGACTGGAAAAAACAAGCTCAATTCCTCTTGGCAGGATATTAATTTAGAAATCTCTGGTGTCGTTGCCCCAATTCACAATGAATTTGAATCCAAGCTTTCCTAGTGCCAGACGACACAGAGATTTGACAGAGAAGGTAATTGGAGGAAATGGCTTTGTAATCCAGCTATTGTGCTGGCAAGATCCAGCTCTCCTCAAGAACAAGGTTCACTTCTTGGCATGGCTGATTCATCAGCATCTATTTGTCCCCAGTGCCTCTTGGTTTTCCTCTGCCCGGTAGGGATGGCACGGACCCTTCAGAGCTGTGTCACAGCTGTGCTGGGCATCCAGGCTTCCTACAGCCTGGTAGGTGGCAGCAATGGAGCGATGAGTCCTGCAGGGTGAACCACTCCAAGTGTCCAAGGGGCACGGGAAAGAGCAGGATGGAGGGAGTCTCATGGTCCACACAGCCCTTGGGCAGCAAACACACCAAGCAGCCGGAGCCAAGCACCACCCGTGGTGGGTGCCTGTGCCATGCCAGTGGCAGGAACAAGGATGGAAACGTTCATGTGGGAGCAATCCCACTCAGAGAGCCCCAGGGCCTCCATCCACTCCACATAACTGGGTGGGTGGATGGGAAAACCTGAATTGGGGCAGAGTTTAGAGCAAAGCTTGTAATCACATCCTCAGTGATGTGCCCAGTAGCACAGAAAAGATTCCCATGGGGTTACCTGCCAGACAGGTCCTAATCACTGGATCACAAAATGGCTTGGGGAGGAAGGGGCCTGAAAGACCTTCTTGTTCCACTCCCCTGCCATGGGCAGGAACACCTTCCACCAGACCAGGTTGCTCCAAGCCCCGTCCATTCTTATCCTTCTCTGAAAAAGTCACTGCAGACAAAGGCTGCATCAGGCAGGGGAAAAACAGCATCAAAGGGCAAAAGAGTCTGCCCTGCTCCCACCAGGAAAAAAGGAAAAAGAAAAGGGAGGAAACAGGGTGCAGAGGTTCCAGAATGTGTTCTGAGAGCTGAGCAGCACTTGCCTAGAAATGTTCATGAACAATTCTACGTACACAGGTCCCAGATCAGCATATGCAGCACCTTCCCACTGCTGTAATAATAACCATTAATAATAACAATCATTTTACTGACCTGCATATTCTTGCCATTCCACTAATTACTCTGTTTTTCCAACTGCCCTTTTTTCCAACTTGCTGGCTGGTGAGCTGCTCAGGATGGATGTTGGATCCACTCCCGAGCTGCACCTCTGAGATCTGATCATTTGGTGGCTGGGGCAGCGTGAAACCCTACCCCTGCTCGCTCCATCAATCCCACCAATGCCCTGACATCCCTTTGGGAACTCTGTTAAAATGAGCTCTTGCCCTTCAGAAGGCTCCTCTCCATTTAAATAACTTGGAGGATGGAGCATAGCTGCAGTCCAGCATCCCCTGGTATCTGAATATATCCTTTAGCTCCATGACCTGATTCCCTGAGTGCACGCAAAGCCAGCGATTTTGTGGAGGAGGAGGAGGGGAAGAGCTCAGTTATTTTTCTTAATCTGCTAGCAAAAAAATATTAGGATAGTAAACAGCCAGCAATCACCCAGGAATGCCTGGGAGAGCTCTTACCTACCGGCATGCAGATCCCTCATCTGGAATTCATTTATTCACGTTCACTATTGATGCTATTCAACTACACGGCTGGTTGGGAAGGACATATTCAAAAGAGACCTGAAGTTATTGAAGAGGCCAGTCTCCACTGCCAGTGTCACCTCTGGAAATAATGAATCCTGGGGGTCTCTCAACCTCCTGGAGATAAGAATGCACAGAAAAAGGTGCCCCATGGGTTTCACTCTCCATCCCATTTTGCTGATAATTCCCTCAGAAAGCTTTCCTAGTGCTGAGGATCACCTGCATCTCATTTAATTACATCCAATAACTTAAACTGCTGGAGCAAACCCACTTCAGATTAGAATCATTTTGAGCTCTGAAGAATTCCCACAGCCTGGTAAAAAGAGTACATCTAATTTGTATGTTCCCCTTAAGTGCTGCCTTACATATCTTGCCATGTAGGTATGTACAGTCCTTCACTTTGCTTACTCTGAGAGTGGGTCCTACAGGGTCAGAAAAGCACAAGGTACGGTTGCCTAAGCTCCAGTTTTGGGGGTGTAAGTGGAAAATCCAGGAGGAAAGCAGATGCCTCCAGGGAGCCCCTCCATCATGCCTTTCCCCAGGCAGCTTACACTCAGCACTACCCTGGGAAGGGACCACACAGACAGGTTGAAGGGGGAAAAAAAAAGCACATGAAGATCATGGAAGTCTCAGGGCAAGTAAATTACTGTTAATTGTGAGATATTTGATTGCAAGAAGCTCCAGATGGCCAGCCATCTGTTTTTTATTATAAAATTAAACAAGATTAACCCAAACAGGATTTCCTCAGCATTCTTCTCTGACTGGCTCACAAATACATCTTTAACACCTATGCTACAGATACAGCACAATCAGAAGCTTTTCCTGCCTTTCCCTAATCTACTTGGGCTAAATACTCTGCTGTGTAATGCCCTTGCACGGAAAGATTTCCAGCAGGATTGAAAAGAAGCAGGGAATGGACTAATTAAGAGAGGAGAGAACTGGGAAATGTCAGTTCAAATAGAAGTAACCCCTGCAGAACCCCTCCCTTTTACACTGCTGTGACCAAAGGCTGGCTAGAAGGGCACAAGCACCCGGGCAGGGGAGTTGCCAAGGGCAACAGGTTGCCAGAGGCAATGGCAGCCGGGGTACCAACCTCTCCCAGTCTGGGATGGGAAGGGATAGAACAGCAGAACTGGGGAGAGTGGCCAGAGCCCCTGCCCTCTGTCTGTCTCCTCTGAAAGGCAGCAGTCAAAAACATCTCTCCCTACATCGTCTCTGCAAGCCCCAGGAATTTTCTTTGCCTTCTTACACCTATGCCAACAAGCCTCAGGAATTTTCTCCCAGCCCTGGCATCCTCTGCATCACCAAAACACCACCCCTGCCTTTGTCCCTGGAAGGGCAGCACTGCAGAAGCTCAGTTTTGCTTTGCATGATTAGTGATAATGATGCCTTCCACAAGCTTTGGCCGTTCTTTGCTCCAAGGTACATAAATTCTGAGACCAAGCCCTGCAGAAAACAGCTCAGACAGATTTTGCTGACCCACTCATCCAGCGACTTTTCCGCCCTCAGGTACCAAATCTGCTCTGGGAGTCAGTCAGCTGCCTCTGCTGCTCTCCCTGGAGGCTGGGCTGCCACCAAGGTGGCCTTCCCGAGCCCACCCATCACCCTCTGCCCACCCCCGAGCCCTTCCGCGAGCTTTTCTCATGCAGATCACACATGTCTGCATTTGTTCGAAGCAAATCGGTTGTGAAATGAACATAAAGGGTGTTCCACGGGAGATGTCCCCTTGCATCAGCCCCCAGAGTAAACCCCCAGGACAAGATGCATCCAGAAACTGTCCATAATACCTCACTCACACCCTCCTGTCTTATCATGTCTGGGCAGAAAACCTGTTGGGAGAGTTTAATTGCCCATCAGCCAACAGACGAGTGCTGGGGCTCCAGCTCACTGTAAACATGATTATTTTTTGCATTTAACTTCAAATATCTTCACTTGCAGGGCTACCCTGGAGGGTAAAATGCCAGCTCCCTGCACCCAGGCTGTTTCCATCCCCCCACTGTGCTCCCAGAGGCTGGAAAACACAACAATTCCTCCTGACGTCCAACCTGACCCTCCCCTGGCACAGCTGGAGGCCGTTCCCTCTCCTCCTGTCCCTTGTTCCCTGGGAGCAGAGCCCGACTCCCCCCCCGGCTCCCCCCTCCTGTCAGGGGGTTGCAGAGCCAGAAGGTCCCCCCTGAGCCTCCTTTTCTCCAGGCTGAGCCCCCCCAGCTCCCTCAGCTGCTCCTGCTGCTCCAGCCCCTTCCCCACCTCCGTTCCCTTCCCTGGACACGCTCCAGCCCATCGGTGTCTCTTCCATGAGGGCACAGAACCAGACACAGCACTCCATGATGATTTTAGGTGAGCCCCAGGCATACCCCAGTGGGATTAGTTCATACAGATCTTAACATATTCTAGAAACTCTATAACTTCCTCCATTCTGGGATATGGTCTGTCTCTAAAAAGAAAAAAAAATGGCCTTAAACACGATAAAAGCATGAACTACAAACTCATCACGCTTCCAGCCAGTTCAGCACTTCCTCCTGGAAGCCACCAAATGGAGATAAGGTTCCCCCAATGACAGGCCACTGATCTCTTTGTGGCCAAAGCCCTCAGGCTTGCAAAAAGGCAAGGACAGCTCAGAGGAAGACATTGGAAAGGTAAAACATGGTCCATGTAGAGGCATATTCAGGAAATTAAATGAAAAGCTCTAACAGTTTCCCTTCTTTTCCCCTTGCCTTTTCCACAAGAGCCAGGCTTGCTTCAAGGTGGAAAAGGGATTTGGCTTTCCCCAGTTTTATTCTCAGAACTGACTGTCCCACTCTGAGCTGGTACTTCTCCAGAAGAACGTGGTCCAAGGCAGACAGCTCAGCTGTAAAACTCCAATCCCCACAGGCAAAGGTATGTGGAACTGAGAGGACATCCCATCCTGTTCTTAGA